ATCTTATAATTCATCAATTTATGATTTTCAATATCCAAGGGAATATCTCCTATAGCGTGTAATGTGAAGAACCAAACGCGTAGTGTCCAAAAGCATTAAGAGTGGGGATAATCGTAGCGAAAGATCTCTCTTACCTCTGCGCCATCTCTCAGTGTACGCGCGACATTTTTTTTCTTTCAACGATACTTGATCTATCAAAAATTGAATTATTTCAACCGTATTTCCTTTTCTTTTTCTCTTTCTCTTTTTAACCTCGTTCATATTTAGCTTCGTACATTTTCTCGACGACTCATGGTTTTTCCATTCTCGTTTCGTTTCGGTTGTTCGCTACAAAAGTCGTTTCCCTTCTCCATAATTTGTCGCGACGGTCCTTCCGCCATTGATTTTTCACGCGGAACTTGGCTTCCCGCGACCGAACCAGAAGGGAAACGAGGAGTCAGGAGCGGGAAAAGGTCAACCACGATCTGACACGAAGCCCGTCGGTGGTTACCTGCTCCTCTCTTCCCCTTTCTTCTCTTTTTTTTTCCTTTCTACCCTCGTTGCCTTTTGGCCCCAAAGAAGCAACGAAAGTGTTTCCACGCGGCGTAGAAAATTTCGAGAAAACGAGCACGGGGAAAACGGAATTTATCCCTTAGATAAGACGACAGATCGTGGTTTTTTTCCTTTCCAGCGTTTTAATATCGAGCGGTTTGCTCGTGCTCTCCCTCTCTTCCGATGCGTTCTCTTTTTCCCTTCCACTTCCATTCCCCTTATACATATGCGCGTATTCCTGTGCATCGAATACGAAAAACTCGACGTCGGTGTAATGCGTGCGTATTGCTCGGAATTTACGACGCCAGTGATATTCGAATGGAACGTAAAGTCGTACACGTGTGTACGCGTATATGCCTCGTTCGAATTTTAATTTCGAACTCTTCGGAAATTTCGCCCACTCATTTCTTTATTCCCTTGTTCTTTCCATCGATATTCCACGTTCGATTTATTGATAAAAATGTAACGATCGGTTCAACTCGTCGCGAAATTTTGGAAATTGTTCTTGGATTCGGTGAAAACGGGCGAACGTAAATCGGTCGAAAGTTTGTCGGCTGAAAGAGAGAAAAGGAGAGAAAATATTCAGTTGATTTTTATTATAAGATATTTTCTCAAACAGACGAAGATTCGAAAGCCACACGTTCTCCTTAATTAAAATTAATATAATATCTAATGTTTTTTTCATTTTGTATATTCGAAGTTTCTTTTCTTTGAAAACATTAAATTGAGAAGAAAGAAACGTTGAGAGAAATTAACAAGTCTCTTCGTACTTCCACGCTCTGCTTGTCACGGTTTGTTTATCGGCAACTGAAAATCGATGGTTATCGCGAGAGAAAGAGGATTTCTATGCGTCTGATTTTGTTCTACGCATTTATAAAACAAATATTTCCCTCTGTTACTTCATACGCCCCACGATTTTCACGGTGTGATAAAACGACAATGTTCCCACCTGTTGTTTATCGTCTTTCGACCGAGAAGAAAAAAAAATATTGCGTATTCCCCCTCGTCTACTATCAGAGGAAAATGATCCAAAAATTGCATATCATTCCTTTTCCATTTTTTTCCTTCTTGGAAATAAATTAATTACTTGGGTGTTTACGTGATTCGAATTTTGAAATGTTTCCAACGAACAAGTGTAATAGAAAGAGTCTGATTCATCGACGCGAATTTTTGATTCAAATTTGTGATTTTCGATTTCGCTGAAAATCATCAATTATTTTTCACAGAACGATTTTTAAAATAAAGCATAAAAAACAGGGCTGTAGCGTTACATCGATTCTCCACGAGAACATATAACGATCGATCCTTTATAAATGTAGTCTGGATAATTTATTAATTTTCGATATTTATAAATTTGTACGTTGCCTTAAGTTGATCATTATTTTATTTTTTTAAATTGTTGTCGCAAATCTGCATAAATAATATTCGAGGTCAAAATATTATTTTAAAAAGCATTTATTCCCAAAAATGAAAAATATTAAAATATTTAAATTCAACGATTTAAGAAATCCTCGCAATCCCAAAAATTTTGTTTCAGCGATACATAATATAATTAACACGCATTATAAGAAATCTTTATGCTATACGAGAATTTTTTCTCGTATAAAATAATATAATATTTGGAAATATTTTTTTATTCAACTTTTTTTTTCTACGTTTTATCAAATTGAAAAAAAATAATTTAACAAATTTATTATCTTTAAATTATAATCAGTTAAACAAAACCCGAAAAATTACAGAATTACACGCAACTCACTGCGTATCCGAAATTTAACGCATTACTTGAAAACATTATTCGAAAACACCCTCGATAATAATAAATTTTCGACTTTCGATTATTTTCGTGTGGTGGAGGATCACGTTAAGCGATGATTAAAAAATAGGGCAAAGCCTTAAAAGATTAACGAACCGAGACCATTTTCGATTTCACGATGGACAAGCTCGTTGGTTCGACTCGGTGAAAATATTTTGGAAACATGAAGGAACAGAGTCAGTGGCGTAATCCGTGGCTGTTTGGTATCGTGCTCTGCACGTCGTTTTCTCCCTCGTTCCTCCGCAGGATGCACGATGAGTGGATATAGAATGTAGGAGGAGAAGGGTCACAGTGGGACTGTAGCGGGTTGAATTCAGCCTCTTCCTGTCTTAGTGGTGTGGCGTTACCATGGTAACAGACTGTAAGCCGCTTAACACCACCCCCTACACCCTTTCCACTCGCTGGAATCCTTGTGCTTCCGACGTCGAGTCAACCCACCCTTGCGAATGTCGTTTTCCCTTTACTCCCTTCGATCCCTCTCGCGCCTCCATCGAGCTTACGGGGGAGAACCATCCACGCACGTCTCTCTCTCTCTCTCTCTCTCTTTCTCTTCCCCTTTTCCTTCCTATTCGATCGAACCAATCCCTCCTCCTATTTTCCATGGAGAAAAAAAATCTTTCTGCTCCTCTGTTTAGGAAATTTTAGAGACTTAATTTCGATCGAAAAAGTAAAAAAAATCTAACTTTCTCGAATTGGCGAATTGAAAATCGCGTTATTAAATTTTTTCGAAAGAAGAATTGAGCATGGAGAAAAAAAAAAGGTTTTTTCTATTGATCTTTTTTTGTCGCCTTATTTAGAAAATATTAAAAGCTATAGGGAAAAAAGTTTGTTTCTATTGGTCTTCGACGAAATTTTGCTTCTTCGTTTAGAAAATTTTAAAGATTTCGTTTCGATCGAAGATAAAACGTAGCAAAGAATCTAATAACTTATTTTTCGAATATTTTATTTAGTAACATTAATCATACTTATCTTTCGAATTGAAAATCGAAAAAAGGATTGAACGAAAGAAAGAAAAAAAAAATTTGTTTCGAAAATTTTGTTCCTATTAAAGAAATTTCCTATTTAAGAAATTTTAAAAATTCGTTTCTCGATCGAACGGAAAATCTAATAACGCGATTTGCCTTCTGCGATCGTCTTTATTCTCCTTAAGAATGGTGAATTGAAAAGCGACGCAAGGAAGGGGATAGGACGATCGAAGAGGAGGAAGAAAGGTTATTAAGTCGGCAAGGGTGGGGATCTATGGTAAAAGAATGGAAAAGAAATCGCGTCCCGAAGCCGACTGTTTGAAACACAGTGGGGGAAAAGGAAGAGAGAGAGAGAGAGAGAGAGAGAGAGAGAGAGAGAGAGAGAGAGAGAGAGAGTCGCGTGTCCGTTGAGAGGAAGCGAAGATGTGTGCGCTCTGGTGACGAGGAATTGAATGGAGGGTGGAAACCATCCTTGGAATCACCGCGTCAGAGAGCCATCGGGTATTCTCTCGTTCTGTTATTTTCTCGTTTTAATCTGGAGTGGGGAACGGAGAGGGAGAGGGGGGAGGGGGGGGGGTTCGCGCGCAGCCGCGCACGATCGCGCCACTCGTAACCGCCATCCTGGACAAAGGATCACCGGTCGGGTGCCAACGTGTCCTGGCTCATCCTTGATTTATAAAAAAACAAAAAAAGAAAAAAAAGGAAAGAGAGAAAGAAAGAAAGAAAGAAAAATGGAGAGGGGGAAAAAAAAAAAGGAAGAAGAAAAGGCGGAAGAATGAGTTGGCGCTTTGGCGTCTTTTCGATGAAGATCGATCTGGTTTGAAAGCTCTTCCGAGCCGCTTACTCTTTTCAACGGGTTCTCCGTGGAATTTCAGATTCGTATCGCGCGCAAACAGCTTCAAAGATCGAAGAACCCCCCTCTCCCTTCCTTCCTCTGGATGAAAAGTAGGAGAGGGGGAAGAGCGATATCGTTGCGTGTTGAACGATCGAAAAGGATAGAGTATGTAACTATATACTATGTACCGCGCGACGAAAATGGTAGAATTAATCGTTCGAATCGCTGAGGTATCGTCGATTGTCTGCTATTCAATTAATGCGGATAAAAGCTGCAATTAATGTTTCTTGCGTAGTCATAGAAAATAATTAATTTCTAAGCGAGTTCGAATCATACTTTATTATCGTTCGTTTGAAGCTTGTCTTTATAGTTGTCTTCTTCGAATTAAAAAAAAAAGAGAAAAAAATTAAAGTTAAAATGAATAAGATCGTTTGTAAATTAAATGAGAAAATTTCTTGTTTTATTCAAGTATAAAGAAAAAGATAATCGATTGACGATTTGAATAACGTTGTAATAAAAAAGTTTATCATATAGTCTTTCTTATCTATCATGTACTTTATTTCTTAATTATATTCATATTGATGTGAGAACTTTAACTCTTTTGAATGTATGATCAGTTTTATTAAAATTATTTTAATGAGAAAGTAGTATCATTAGTAATATTATCGCATATTGATTTCATTTATTTTTAAACAATCTCGATTCTCTTTCTTTATTTTTCTATATTTTGTCATTCGCGTTTAATTAATAATTTTCGCGTAACATTAAACACAAACAATCGATTTTGTAAAAGATATTATATAGAAATGCATATGCGAAATAGCTTCTGATCGAACTCTCTTTCGATTTGTTTCAGGTCTTCAGCCTGCCAGCACCAAAGCGCAACCTACCACGATCAGCAAATCTCATAGACCCAGTTCTGGCGTGTTACCTCAGGGTCATACCCCTGGTCCTGGTCCAGGTGGCCAACAAAATAGCAGAAGTTTTGCCGCCGCTCTGAGAAACCTGGCTAAACAGGCAGGGCCGGCACCTCAGGAAGAAGAACCTCGCGCGAGTCCCAAAAATCGAGCCCCACCTCCTCTGGTTAGAGGTCCTTCGCCTGCCAAGGTGAGTAATCGCCATTACCGACCGATCTCTACCTCTTCCATCTTTTTCTTTTCCTTCTTATTTTCACACTTCTTTTTCCTTCTTCCTTTCGCTCTTCTTCAAATTCATCAAACCTGTTTCGGTCAACAAAAACATAACGGGAGTCTCCTTCCTTTTTTCCGTTTCTCATTCAAAGTATCAGCCGATAACGGCATCGACAACGTTATCGACGGCCGATAAAAAAAACGACCATAAAACAAGGAAACGTGAATTTTTTTAGGAACGATCCACGCACGAGAGAAGACCAGAAGAAATTCCCTCGTTATACACGACTGCGAGACCCGCGGATACCAGCAAACATAGCGTGACTGCCGCCGCTTCCGAATTGTTGGCCCGATCCGGTTTTCAACCGTACCGGCCTGAGCATCATCCGGCCCACGCTCCACCGGCTTTCGCTCTCGATCCCGCGGCCTACAATCCTTATCACCACGGTCTCTACCCACCGCCACACCTTCAACACGCTTATAGGTAACGTATCATATAATCGTTCATTCTCGCGAATGCTCTTTTTTCATCGAATAATAAACATTTCGTTCTCGATCACCAGATTAGAAGAACAGTTGTATTTGGAACGGTGTGGAATGCTGAGACCGCCATTATTTCCTGGGTTACCTTCGTATCCTCTGTACGGACTAAGATATAGTCCGGACATGTTACCGCCCGCATCCCTCGGACTCATGTCTCCCGTGATGCACGAGAGGTAAGGGAAACTCTTGATGCTTTATTCGATGAATATTATCGATCACCATATCTCAAAAATCTTTGATCAAGAAACTTTTTCTCTCTCTCTCTCTCTCTCTCTCTCTTATTTTTTTTTTTTTATTAATCGTGCCACAATTCTCGTTTCAGACTGAAACTGGAGGAGGAGCATCGGCTGAGGCAAGCACGGGAACAAGCCGCGCTGCGCGAGGAGGAGGAGAGGAGAAGAGCGGCACGAAATTCCGCTCCTGCCGCCCCGGTACCCGCGCCTGCACCTGCATCCGCCGATACTGCAGGTGAGCGAGTCGCTCCACCCCCCACTGCCTTTCATTAAAAAGAAATCATCGATTACGAGCGATTACGAGACTTCTTCTGTCCCGTTGCTTCTCTTATGCGCGGAAATAACCTTATTTCTCTTCTTTTTCTTTTCGTCTTTTTNTTTTTTTTTTTTTTTTTTTTTTTTTTTTTTTTAATGCGATCGTGGTATATATCGTACATTCTATTACATCATTCGACTTTTATCTGTTTCTCTCGCTGTTCGACGATTTTCAACAATCGTTGTTTCGATTACCTCTTTCGCTCTCCATTTTTTTTTCTTTCTCTCGTGTTTATCTTCCCCTTTTTTGGAATTTTCTAACTACCAATTACGTCGAAACGAAACTACGCCGCGACGAAAGAACCACCGTACGTCTTGAAATTCTTTTCTAGGAAAATATTCTACGATAAACGATCTCCCGTCTTTGTTCTCGACTTTAGTTTGAATATCGGTGCCAAGCGATCAAACCGTCAACGAAGTATCGTTCGTTGGTCGAATGTTCTGTAACATTTGATAGATCTGTACTGTGCGACCGACGGTTCATCATGCAGGGATGAATCGAGATGAAGCAAGAAGCGAGGAGAAGTCGTTGCAGAATATATATATGACTATATATATATATATATATATATATACATACCTGACTGTGAATGAAATCGAAACAAAAAAAAAAAAAAGAAAAACATACTACGCTTCTAATTTTAATCTAGATATAATCGAAGATATAGTCATAGCTAATCGTTTCTTATGAAGGTAGGATCGATATTTTTTAAGTAAAGCATATAACTCGATCATCGAGTTGTTCGGCTTCACGTTTATTGTTCCTCCGATCTTTAATTTTTATTTCTTTCTTTGTTCAATTTTTTTTTTGTTTTTTTCTTTTCTTTTCTTTTCTTTTCCTTTTTCTTTTTCTTTTTCTTTTTCTCGTTCTTTTGTGTTTTTCAAGTTGAAATTTTTTTTTCTTTTTTTTTAAATCGAAAGTAAAATACCGTTCAAAATAAACGTAACGATTTGAACCTTCGTGGGACCTCCGTTCAAACACGCTTCGCCATAGTTGAAAAGAGTGAAAGTATGCCGATTATCCTAAACATTTTCCAAGGTTGCAATCGCATTTCCGAGACAACCACCCCGACTTTTTCCGAGTAAAATTTCGTTTTACACGTAGACCGAAGTCAGACTTATCGGCAAATTCTTGCGACAAATTCTCTTGTTTCATGTTGAAAGAATAAGTCGGCCTTCGGTCGGCCGTTTATATCCATTTATATCATATTCGAAGTATATATGTTTCAAAATGATTTTTTGTAGTGTTCGAAAAACGAAGTCTCTTATTCATGTACAATGACACGTTCATTACGTAGGTAATCGTTTTGTAGTTAGTAACGTCTTTAACGACGAAACTTAACAACATAAGAGTGCACGACTTGTATGGAAAAGAATTTATCTTCGTCATCTTTTTTAAGATGGAGAGTTTTGTTCGAGAATAATATGTAATGGTTACATAAACGTTTATTATTTTCTCTCGTTCACATCCAAGTGAATTTTTTTTTCCTTTGATAAATTCAATTTTATTTGCATTTTTTTTTTTCATCTTGTGTATACGTGAAGTTTGTTATAAATAATTATTATAATTTGAAGCAAGAATCGATGAATGTTAATCGCTGACAAATATATTTCTTTTTTTTTTTTTTTTTATTCTGTTAGTTTTCTTCGTTTCGTTGAATTATATTTCGTTGAATTATATATTTTCACGTTTCCTCATTGTTTTCTTTTCTCTTTTTCTTTTCTCTTTTTTTTTTTTTTTTTTTTTTTCATCCCTTTCATTTAACCAGCTAATAAAACAAGACGTAAAACATTTCGTTTCGCCTCGAACGATCGCTTAAAACGCGAAACAATGAACCGTTTTACAGATCAGTCTTAATAATTATATCACTTTTGTATCGTTTTCCTGAAACATAGTGCACTCTTGCGTTAGTTCCCGCAACTGTTTTAGAAATTTGCAATTAAACGATCAGTGTTGAAATAATTTTTCTTAATTGTAGCAAACGTATTCTACCCTATTATTGACTTGATCCACCTATGTATATAACTGTCACACATGTTCTTTTATCAAAATTATACCGTTTTTATATAATTTATTATGTAAACATGTATATTTGGACTATAATTGAAAATAAACATTGCAAAAAAAAAAAACGTGATCAAAATTCTGATTGACTTGGAATTCTTGACCCTCGATTCATTTTCTGAAACAGTTTTGGGGAAGATTCAGCGAGATCAGTCGTTACCAGATCAGTTACCTAATTTCCTACGTTGTTGTACGTACGATATATACGATATGTTTTCTCATATGAGCGTCCCAATCGAACCGATCGAAATGTATAATCGAACCAAATACGTTATCCAATTATCATTGAAGTTCTACTGTGCAATCATCCCCAATACTTCGAATAATTGAATACATCAATCTCTGTTACTCATTGTAACGAAAGACTAACTGGATCGGCCAGGTAAGTTAAAATAGACGAACGATCGTTATCTTTTAAAAATTCTATGTAATTTGTTCTTTCTTTTTTTTTTTTTTTTTTCTCTCTTTCTTTTCTCTCCCGTCGTCTTTTTAAAGTTTCACGAAACAATTTTTGAACACGGGATCAGAATTGTTCGAGTATACACAACGTAAAGACGACTCGTTGACTCGTTAACGAATTTGCACTCGATTCGTATTCCATATCTGTATCCAACCTTGAATCGCGTCAATCGAATAATTTTTCTTTTCCCTCGTGAACAACGCTTCTCCTCGCGGTACGAATTTCGAATAAATAATACGAATAATAATATCGAAGCGAAAAACTTGAGCGCATCGTACGCGAGAATTGCGCGAAATTTGAAATTTATCAACGACCCGTGTACTCCGCTAAATAGTAAGTTGACACCAGTAGATCAGTGGAAGATTACCAAGCACTGTGTTCGGGATTTGTTCCAGCTAGGAAGCCGACCATAGCGGCTCAGATGCATAGCGAGCGGGAGCGAGAACGCGAGAACAGAGATCGTCCAAGCGGGAGCAGTAGCGGCGGAGGCGGAGGCGGAAGTGGCGGTGGTGGCAATAGCAGCAGCACGGGCACCAACAGCGGGAGCAACGCGGGTAACGCTAACGTTGGATCCGTCGGTAACAGTCACCATCGCGTCGAGTCGAGGAAAGAAGAGCAACAGTCTTCGGTTCCTCCTCCTCCTCCTCCGACAGTAGCACCACCACCGCCTCCACCACCACCGCCGCCACCACCACCGCCACCACCATCGTCGGATCCAACGGCAACGGCGAACATCTATCACTCTCGTTTGCCACCGTTTCCAAATCCACCGGCTCCCATTGGACCGGCATCGTTGGCCACGGCTACCATCTGCTCCGTCAGCACCGCGGCCATGCCCCCTCTACCCCCCTTGAACCTTGGACCTCCGCCACCGATAAGTTCCGCGCCTATCGGCGGCCCTCCACCCATCCCCTCTATACCCTCTATGTCATCGTTGACACCAGCGGTAATAGGTCCGCCGCCCCCACCATCCCTCGCCATGCCCTTGGCGCCTATCATCTCCATACCTTCCCTCCATTTACCCTCCGTACCCTCAACTACCATTCATTCTAGTCAGCACACAGCTACGATAATGAGCAGCGCGACGACTACGGTCACGACTTCTATATACCATCAGCAACAACCGCAACAACAACAACAACAACAGGTGCAACAGTCGCCACAAGTGCCGCCATTACCACCACCACCGCCACCACCGCCGCTACCACCACCAGCATCATCGTCGCAACAATCGCATCAACGCGGTAATAATATGAGCTCAGCTGGTACAACAACGAGCAACAACGGTTTGTCGAGCAGCGGCACCATGACAAGCCACGGAACACACGTTGTAACGACACCCACCTCGGTTCCCTCGACTATGAACAGCGCGAACCATATGACCACCTTGACCCACAAATCGCCATCGCCGTTGTCTCACGGTATTCATAGCTCGAGAAACAAAGACAACGGCGCAACCGCGACCAGCACGACGGCGAACGCCTCCAACACGAGCGCCAGCAGTAACAACAGTAACAGCATCATCATCACCACCACTACCATCACTACCACCGCGATTACTATGGTCACCAGCACGAGCACGTTGGCTACAACTCAACCGGCTTTTGTCAGACCTTTCGAGGATTCCTTTCGCTCCTCGTCGAAGCCCCAGCAAAGGATTATCGTGAACAGTCACAATCACAGCATATCGAGTCAACTTTCTTCTTACCAAGAATCGTCGATAAAATCGGCCTCTACAACGACCACGTCCCAAACAATCGGGGGACAATTGTGTTACGACAACGCTGTCGTCGATAACGCGAAAAACGCGAATTCTCAGCAATCCCTGTCACATCCGATCCCCTATCCTCCTCAACAGTTTCATCATCCCCATATACCCGTCTCGCACGTAGCCAATTTGTACAAACCGGCCCATTTTTCTTCGTCGTCGTCATCATCGCAGCCTCATCAAGTCCACTCGCAGCCAAAGATTAACGTATCGTCGACCACGTTGACTACTAACAGCGGTGGTAATAGCGCGAGTAGCAACAACAGCGCCCCTATGGTCAGTAATACGAAACAAAGCGTGGTGCATCATGGGAACGAAAGTAATCAAACTACGGTGACAACGTCGGGCCAGCGGAACGAAATCTCGTCGTCGTTGTCGTCGTCGTCATCGTCTTCATCGTCATCGTCGTCATCGTCGTCGTCGTCATCTTCGTCGCCCCCTTCGACCACGTCCAATCTCGTTAATTGCGTTTCCAGCGAGAAAATGGGTGGAAACGCGAGTTACAACAATATCGTGGCCGGGAATGGGAACAAAATCGCGAATCACGCGAATTCGCATCATAAAACCGGCATCTCGGATACGTCGACGAGGGAGAGCGGCAAGTTAGTTAACTCGTGTAACGAGAAGATGGAGAATCACGGGAAGCAAACGGCGGCGAGCCATCAGAATCACGTGGGAAAGAATTCGGTTGTTCAAGAGAAACCGTTGATCGTCACCCACTCGACGTACGAGCAACAAGGGAAAGGCCCGCCCCCTACTTTCCAACCAACGAACGTCAACTTCAATCTCGCCGAGAAGGAGATGAAACCTGAATCAGAGTCTAAGAGCGATCAGAACAACCTGTTGTCCACATTATCGTTTCAACCGAATTTTAAGTTCAGCATAAACGACATCGCGCAGAAGCCTATAGATACGAGCCAGTTGATGCAGAGCATCAAGTCTGAGGAAGTTTTGCGTACCTGTCAGAACGTGTCCAATGTTCTCCTACAGATACCAAAATACCAAGAGAAACTGTTGAATTTCTCTAACGAGCTGAAAACCGCATTTTGTTTCACCGACAAGTGCAATAATTTGACTGAGATTTCCGTGAAGTGCGAACCGGCGGTGTTAAATGTGCCTGACTTGAGCAAGGCTCTGGTCAAACAAGAGATAACCAGCGAAAAGTCTTTTCTTGTACCTGAGAAGCCGAAAGAGTTGACGTCCTCGTTGGATCTTGCCGAAAGGAGAAGGAAAAGGAAACGGGAGAGGAATACAGGTCTTGCATGTAGTTCGGATTCGGAAGGCGAGGATGAAACGAAGGATGTGGATCTTTGGATCATCAAAGGTCCACCGGCAAAATTACAGTATTCTGAGAAGAAACTCGCATTCCTCGCCATGTTCGGTCTAACCACTTTAAGTATGAGGAACGGTAAGAAATCTTCGTCACCCTTCATCGTTTGTTAATTTTTTCTTTTTTTTTTCTTTTTTTTTTTTTTTTTTTTTTTTTTTTTTTTTTTTTTTTTTTTTTTTTTTTTTTAACTTTTCCCCCGCCCCTATTACATTCGTCCATACGTTAACACTTATGCATCTGCCTTCTCTCTCTTTCTCTCTCTCTCTCTTTCTCGCTCCGTCCATATAGAAATAGAGCTTTGTAAAGTGGAGAAGAGGTACAGGTTAAATCCAGATCCACCGGAAGTACCTTTGGAGACGGAACAAGTGGTAGAATCTGTATTACCAATACCGCGGGAACATCCGGACGTATTACTCCATACACCAGATTTCGAGCCGAAAGTTGGTTTTCTCAGGACTATAGGCCTTGATATAATGCCTCCGAACAGGAGAGATGGTAAATATTAAAAAGTATCTTATACGCTTGATCGATCGAAAAATGATTCGATTAAATTCATTTAATTATTCTATACAGAGGCAGAAGTAACGTGGCAATACGTTCTGCAAGATCGTAAGAAACGGAAATGTTCCAATTCCGTGACTGCGTATTGCGAAAGAATTGCCAGGGCGTATTCGAAGAATCCACCAACATTGCCTAAACCGCCGCAAAAGATGAGGCTTTTGGATAGAGTAAAAGTGAAACAAATTCCAGAACGACCACCGCCTCTACCACCTTTGGTTCCAAACATTATCTCGATGGGTTATCCCTCTTTGCCTATGCCCGGTGAAAATGGGGTGAAACAACATTGCAAGATTATGGATATGAAGATCATGGATGAGAACATGGATGTAGATTACGTGGATGGAAAGAAAGAAAGACCTAAATGGACTGGCATCGAGGATATCATCCTTGCTTATAGCGAATATTCCAAAGGTATGAAATCATTTCGCTTTAATAGAAAACCATTAAATGTTTACCCATTAATTGTTATACAATCTTTTATTTTTTTTTCTTTTCATTTCAGAAAAAGCATTGGAAAAGAAAATTTTGACGAGCGAAACATCAAAATTGGTAGCACAATCGAACAACTTACGTTCCGAGACCATTCATCTAGAGCGAAGGATATACGAACTTTTATCCGCGAGAACAGCTCTTGATTCGGAAAGGCGAATGTTGAGCGAGAAAATCGAAAGGATTAACGCACTTGTTAGGAACCTTAGGTAGCGATGCGTAACGCACAACACGGAAACTCATTCATCTGTGATATTATCGAAGGGTTAAGGGTCGTTAGCATACCAATACCAAATATAAAATCTTACAATTATATTTAGACAAGCGAAAATTCGATGAAACAATTTTATTGACCAATTGTTAAGCAACCTTTCGGTTTTAATGACCAAATGGATACCACGAAATGATGTTATACATATAATGCAGAATATAAAATTGCAATAGCAACGGATTGATACTACGATCGGTCGTGAAGCACACCTTTATATTTCGTAAATGATCCTCATATCAACACAACGTATGAGACGAGTGTGTAAGAAGATTATAAAAATTATATCTAAATATACATGCACTTCTTAGTTCACGACTGAAGTAGTTAATAAAGATTTTATAGTTTTAACTAACGGCTCTTAGACTCTAAACTATAAATAATTGTAATTTGTATCATAATATTTTAATGAAAAATAGACAAATCGTATAACTTATTTTATTCTGCGTAATGTGGACTCTATGTCAGATAATAACTTGAAACAATATGATATGTCATGAATTTGTATATGAATCGATCGTTAATATTATCTGGTGTAAAAGAGAGGGGACAACTAATCGCGACGTTGAATCGGTTTATTGATAATCGAAAAGTTACTCCAATATATAGACTGTAACTTTCTTTTTCATTTTGCATCCTAAATGGGAATAGTGTACGTGAACTCTGTGTTAACAAAAATTTTAAAATACATTCAAACTACGAAACCACAGATTGCGATTACAATAAATTTGAATGCAAAAAAAAAAAAAAAGGTCAAAACTATAGAACCGTAATGATTACTTTTAACTTAAAAAATGTTTCGAGATAGAAACATCTCTAGTCTACGGACATTCGTAGAATACAGGAAAATCACATCTGATTCCAAGAGATCAGAATAGTGATCGATCTTTCCTTTCGATGTCCACTGTTCACAATAATGAACGCAAAGGCCAGTGAATTAACAAGAGAAATTAATGTAACAACTGCAGTGAGGTACTTACGTAGCTAAAGTGACTTAATTTAAATTTTAATTTAAAACGTGAGACATCGCGCGAGCACATTCCACATAAAAACATGCTTGTTACCCGACCTTCAACATTCCAAGTTCGAACAGTAATCAGATCGCAAACAATATTAAAAAGCGAATAAAATTCGTTTCGTTGCAAAAGTTCTGTTTCTTTTTTTTCTCTCTCTCTTTCTTTTTTTTTTTTTTTTCGTTAACATTTAACTAAATCAGTGCTTACATGTCCTAATATTTGTATCTCACTCTATTCTCTGAGTATATCGTTCAACTATTCATCGTAATACCTCCAATATGTATAATATGAATACATTTATAATTTTACTGTTTTGTTCATTGAGTGCCTAACGTTATCCTACATTTGTAAATATCATTATTTTTATGTATTGTATAACAAAACAAAAAGACCACAAGATATTTGTTGGTCTCTGATCTGGCCAAAACAAGAGCCTAGGAGTAAATTGTTGAAAATATGAATTTTTTGAGTATTTTGTTTTTCCTCTCCTTTCATATATAAGATATAGATAACTTTTCCATATAATGTGCGATTAGTAATTAGTTATAACTATTTCATTCTAACAGTTTTAATGAAATGAAAAACATATTTTTAAAATATTCATAAAGTTTTTTCAAATTTATAATTCTGTACGTTGAAGCAATTATAAATTTTAATTATTTTCACGTTCAGTACTGCCCTCTATATGCTGAGACGCGCTTATTTTCTGCAGGGTGTACAATTTTTAATATAAACTTGTATACCATATAAAAATTAATATAAAGAAATAAAAATTACGAATTAAATGAATAATTTAAATTAGAAAACGTAATATTTTTTCATCTAATGTACATTTATACGCGTATATTATATTTTATAAAAATTATCCGTAATTTTATCTAGGGATTTTAATATTAGATTGGCGGCGCCACATGTATATGTGATGTAGAAATAACGTTCCCGCGCAAACGAGCGCCGACCTAACTGTCGCCGCCAAAATATCGGATGTACATACGCATAACCGTCGTCGAATAGGGTAGAGATTCATTCGCTGTTTGGTATTACGAGGAGAAGCATCGTTCATTGTTCGTGTTTAAAAGTTTTAAGAAAATTCATTAAAAAATGTCTGGACGCGGTAAAGGTGGTAAGTATCGTATTTAGCGTGTTAAAGTAAATTATTGAAAACTATAAAAACCGTTCTATGTACGTTTTTTCAGGAAAGGCTAAGGGAAAGGCGAAGACCCGCAGTAGTAGGGCAGGGCTGCAATTCCCTGTCGGAAGAATCCATCGTCTTTTGAGAAAAGGAAATTATGCAGAACGAGTTGGAGCTGGAGCTCCTGTATATTTGGCCGCTGTGATGGAATATTTGGCGGCTGAAGTACTCGAGTTAGCCGGGAACGCCGCAAGAGACAACAAGAAGACGAGGTTGGTGAAGGAAGCCCTTCTCTCTCTTTCTATCTCTTTCTCATTCACTTATACATACTCTATTTATCTATCTTTACTTTTGCTTCTCCATGATATTTTTTTCCTACATTATTATATAATATAATATATTTTATATCATTTATTTATATAAAATGTTGTCTTTAATTGGTAATTTATAAATAATATATAATACATTAAATATATATACTTTTATTTTTATTTCAGGATAATTCCACGTCATTTGCAATTAGCTATTCGCAATGACGAGGAATTGAATAAATTACTCTCTGGTGTAACGATTGCTCAAGGTGGTGTCCTGCCTAACATTCAAGCAGTACTTTTGCCGAAGAAAACTGGTACTGGTGGATCTGGAAAAGGAGACAAAGCATCCCAGGAATATTAATAATCTTTAGAATAATATTTCTAACTTAACAATACTTTAGGGCTATACCTTTGTTTCTTGAGCTATTAAAAAAAAAAAAAAAAATAAGAAGTAACCTTTGAAACCTATCAAATTACAATCACTATTCTATCAATATATATTGTGAATAATCTTAATTAGTGCAATCTACTATTTCATTACTAAATAATATTTTTTATTTAGCTTATGTAATAGTAAAGTGCATTTTTTTAAGATACATTTCTTTTTTGACTTATGCTTAAGATATATTATTTAATTATTGTCATTATTATATTCATTTTGTTTTGTTCCTTCTGATCATATATTAAATTCTTAGTGATATTTTATAAACTATGAATATAAAATGGAAACTGATGTATTAAATGTTTTTGTTGACTGTAAACAATATTTAGAGTGAAAATAAAATATCATTACTCTATATTTCTTTGAAATTCTGAATTTTTGAACTTATATTTATATATTGTTATACTTATATTTTTTGCATTTTTCTAAATTCTAAAAAATATATTTTTCAAATATATTAATTATATTTTCAAAATTTAGTTGTATGCGACTTCCGGTAAAGTGATTCCACCAGTGAGCTTTTACAACGTATAAAATTGCATAGGTAGCGCGTCGGTTGAACGTGACGTTAAGTTTTTGATTGCTTGAATGTTGAATACTATTTTCTTGGTGAAAAATATTCGTTAAGTAATTCAAAAATATAAAATAAAATGTCGTCAAGTGATATAAATATGCTAGTCGATATGGGTTTCAGCGTATCTAAAGCGTAAGAATTTAAGGCAATTTTTTTTAATTAATATGTAATATAACCTTTATTATATTCATTTTTATTCTATCGCAGGGAAAAAGCTTTAGAAATTACTGGAAACAAAGGAGTTGTTCCGGCAATGGAATGGTACGAGAAAGGCCGTGACTTCATTCTCATCGTCTGATGACGATCTTAATTTTTATTTTAGGCTCTTGGCTCATTCAAATGATGCTGAACCATCATCTGAACCACCTATCACTGAAAGTACACCAGCGTCTAATCTGCAAACATCAGTTCAAGAAGACATTACCGATGCTAGTGATCAGGTGTCTACTACTGAAGTTGCTAAATCTATGAAATGTGATATGTAAATATATTAATGTTTTATATGAACTAATATTGATAACATAGTTATTTTAATTTTTTGTTCAATAGCTGTGGAAAATTGTTTAAATCTAATTTGGAAGTTGAATTCCATGCAACAAAGTCTGGACATGATAGGTTCTCTGAAAGTACAGAAGAGAAAAAACCTCTTACGGATGAAGAAAAAAAAGAGCAATTACGAATATTAACAGAAAAATTAAAACAAAAAAATAAAGAGAGGGAAGAACAGGAAAAAAAAGATGCACAAGAAAGAGAAAAAAATAGGATAAAATCAGGAAAAGAAATGGCTCAAGCTAGAAGAAAGTAAGTTGAATTTGTTCTTCACATATATATATATATTCATTTATGCATTATATGCATATATATACTTATATGTATTTTAATATTATAGATTGGAAGAATTAGAAATGAAAAAATTGTTAGAAGAAAGGAAACGTGAAAAAGAAGAAGAGAAATTAGCACGACAAAGGGTTAAAGAACAAATTGAAGCTGATAAAGCTGCTAGACGTGCTAAAGCTAATGCTGAAAAAATAATAACAGAATCTCTTTCAACGCCTTCATCTTCCACTAATATTTATAGGAAAGAATATAATGATACAAAATTACAGGTTAATAATTTACATATTTATGAATATATAATTTTAATTGTAATGTTTGAACGATGTTGTATTATTTAATATTTTAGATTAGACTTACTAATGGACAAGTATTAACTCAAAATTTTGGAAGTAAGGAAAAGTTATCTGCTGTGAGATTATTTGTAGAACTTAATAGGACAGATACTCCTGGTCCATTTAATTTAATGACAAATTTTCCTAAGAAAATTTTTACAGAAGATGATTATGAAGCTCCTTTAAATGCATTAGGTATGCTATTGCAATTTTAAAATTTAATATTTGTATTAACTATAATATATTAACATTAATTTTTTGGTTATTATGATTATAATTCTAGGCTTAACACCATCTGCAGTTTTAATCGTTCAAAAAAAAATGGAATGATTAAAATGTCAATTATTACTTGCCATACAATTTGCAATATGCTTTTAAAGTAATATTTCATTGTAAAATATTATACAAATTGTTTAGAAAAAGGAATCATTTTAAAACATCTCTTATTATTAAAACAATCTCTATTTGTAATTATTAATGAAAATAAAAAATATACATTTAAAAATATTAAATGTTTAAAATTTTTATTACATTTTTCGGATACAAAATAAATATTATATTAATTTTAAATTTTAAAATTACATATATTTTATATTTTATATTTTATATTTTATGTTATATATATTTATAAAATAATACAAATATAAATATGAAATTCATTATTATATTATTATTTATTATTGTACTTGTGTTATATGGTACTTTTTTGGGATAAATTATTCTTTCAGACTTACAATTTGTAGGATATTCATTAATTTCAGTACAATCGCTTAATTCTAATGTTTTATTAAAACATATTCGTATCTCAAATATATATGATTCTCCCGTATGCTAAAATAATTTTTATTATATTAAATTTAATTATTAAATATTGAATATTGAATATTGATGAACAAAATAAATTCTTATTTATTTACCTTATTTTCTTGACAAATTAATATTCCTCGTGTGTTTAATTGTTGTTCAATAGCATTTAAAATTTCTGTTTTATTATATGTTTGTCCAGGAATAATATTCGCTTTTGTCAATACATTTTTCATATTGTAAGTTGATAATAATTCTAAACCTTTTGCAAAATATTTGTTTTCAGTATTTAATTCTTTTAATACTACCGCGCAAGTGCCATGTTTATCCCATTCATGTTGCCAAAATGAATAAGAAGTTCTTCCTTTTTCTATGTCTATCCATTTTTCTTGTAATTCCTCTTTTAATGGTTCTAATGCGGTCGAATTGAATGGTAATTTATTACAGAATTGTGGACCAATTTTATGATATTGAGATGGCCAAATACCATGAATCGTCCACTCATCATGTTCTTTTGGTAACGAACACGTATTCGATGTTGACTTTTCTTTCCATGTGAAGCAAACAGTTTGAGGCCAATGTTGAGTAAAAATTAAAACATCGAAATCATTGTTTGATCTCGGTATTCGATTCCAATGGCTCTTACTGTTAAAACAATTTATATATGTAAAAAATTCTTCGAAATGTATTGATTATTCGTTAATAATAAAAATAATAATATGAAAATATAATTTTATTTAAAAGTTAAACAAAATTCTAAAAAATTATTATTAAATTTATCTTATATATTATTTTAAATAATATAAAAATATTATCGAATATTTTTAATAAATAAAACTAACCTATTCACTTTGCCAATAAAAAACAAAAATAAAATAATAGCGAATTTTTTGCAATTTAACATTTTTAATGCTTTTTATAAATTAAATAGAACTTAATATGATTAAGATTAAGTTCTCTTTTAAGATTTATTATTTATTTAGTTCCTTAAATATATCTTTATAATTATTTATTTCAATCAATCTCTGTATATATAGTATTTGTAAAAATATTATATATATTTTACAATATTGATATATTGATATATTGATATATTGTAAAATATATATAATATTTTTACAAATACTATATATCAATACATACAATATACGTACAATATATCAATATTGTAAAAATATTGAGAATTTTATTAAAACTTATCCATATAGATAAAAATTTTATCATATAAAATAAAATATTTATTTTAAATACTTTTGTTGAAAATAAAACGAATAAAATATAAAAGTTAATTGCGTTTATCTTTCATTTTTTTGTTAATTATATTTTCTATTTATTATAATATTTATTTTATTTTTTAATTTTAATTTAATTCAAAGATGCACTAATTTAAATAAATTTTCTAAAAATAACGTTTTAAACACATTTTGCAAGCATATTATATGTATGATAATTTTAAGATATTTTATTTCTTAATTGTTATATATTTATAAAGGGTCTTAACAATATTATTTAACTTCTAATGAATTTTCATGAAGCAAGTTAAACTTTACTTAAGAAATAATATATGTGCTTAGTTATAGGTTAAAGTGATATAGAAAAAATTATAAAAACACACATTGATTCTGAAATCATAAATTGAATATAATAAAAACTTAATATATCATAACACTTCTATTATTATTATATATATTGTTATATATATATATTTTTTTTTATTAACTCTTTTTTTTTTTACTTAACTGTACTTATTAAATACTATACTTATTAAATATCTGATCTAATCAATATTATATCTTGAACGTGCATACGTGTTCTACGTATATGTAGAATACATGTAAAGTTAAAAAATTAGAAATCTTTTATTGCAGATTTATGCATATATATACAGATATAAAAAATGCTAATATATTCATGAGAGGATTTATATTTTTGGAAAATTAATTTTAAAGACCAAAATAAAAAACTTAATAAACATAAAAATGCTGATTGAGATTTCTTTATTAAATTACAAGCAATTTGCGAAACAGAGATGAAATGAGATAGCAAAAATAGAATAAGATAATTATATCTCTCTATTTCAATTCGTCCATGTAAGTTCGTATCTTTTTATTTTATCAAGTCTATGTAATCACATTTTATCCCCATCTCTCCTAATTTAATGCAAAATTAAATTACTTATAATTTGAAAATATATTTCAATAGAATAAATTTTTATATACTAATTTTGTCCTATATATATATATGTATATGTATGTATATGAATATGTATATGTATATGCATATGTATATGTGTGTGTGTATATATATATATATCTTATTACTTGATTACATTTCATATCATTTCAAAGAAATGGATTTTCTTCAAGAATTTTATATTATTATAATTTTTATTATATTCAGAAATAGATTGTAAAAAATCAATTATTCTCTTTTTCAAAATTAATATTTTGAAAAATAATAAATCTATTACAAAAAATAAAACTGTTAAGTTTAAAAGTTTTAATTAATAATGTTAAAATGGTTTTTTATTATCATTTTAATTAGAAAAAATGTTTGGAACATTTTGTTCGGTTTAAGTCGTTGTCTGAGTAAATAATAAGTAAGAATTTGTAAAAACATGAAGATAATTATTAACGCAGTAAAATCAACCCAAAAAGCCACATGATCTATACCTAAAATGAGAATTAAAAAATTATATTTAAATAAGCACATATATATTAAAAATTTATAATTTTAAATACAATAATGTTTCTCTAATTATCGTATATTTTATATTACTAATTATCACGTTCTTATCACCAATTAGAATTACTTCGATACAACAAAGTAGCAAATATTAGTTATATCTCCATTTCATTTGATCCAATTCATTTGAACTATAATCTGTATTTTATATTATTTTTAATTAGCAATGAATCATCAAAATAGAATATAGATAATATTTTTATATATTTCATTATTGATTATAATGTTACAACAAGTTATTAGGATTTAATAATTAAATTAAATAATTAAATTATTAAAATTTTCCAATGAAAATTAATATTAAGTATGATCATATTTGAATTAATTTTAATTATATGCATAGATAATATATAACGGATATTGACAATATTGAATCTTTTTCTTTATTTCACATTTGATATTTTTCATTTTTATTTTATATTTTAGATGATTTCAAAAAATAAATAAAACTGAAAAAAAATTTATCGAAAATTTCTATTTCTAATTATTTATTTTAATAATAATATAGACTTTGCGACAATTAGTAGAAACATTATTATAATTCCAATAGCTTACGCATTATTTGTAAAAGTTGTCGAGGTGTTCCGAATATACATAGCATTTCTGTAGCTGGACAATATAATTTTCCTCTATTGTAACCATATAAGGCACTTATAAGACCTTCTAAACCATAGCGAATATAGCTTAGATACATTATCAATTGTCGATAAAGAGGTAAAGTTTTTGTTTCGCCAATTCCTTGTACAGCAACCAACATTAAGGGGACAGAAATTGCAGGCCCGACAAATATGCCATTCTAAAAAATATATTAACATCAGAACTTCTTAATATAATTATAATTAGTAAACATAATATGAATCCGTACCACGATGTTCAATATGCTGGCTATAGCTAATGCTATACTTTCTGCTATAAACGAGCATATTAAACCAGTGCTATAAAACATAGCGCATCTAAAAAACTCCAGAGGTTGATCTGTTATTACATATACTATTGATAAATATATCGATGATACTATCATCTGCAATATTGATCAAAAAATTATTTAAATGATTTGTAAAATTAATATTTATAATCTTTAATAGAATTCAGTATTTTAACCTGTGTAAGTATGTTGATTATGATCAACGCACAATAATAAGGACTCAAATCATACCACATATTAAAATATTCTCGTTTTATCAATTTCACTTCTTTGGGAACTGTAAGTTTAAAAAAATATATATATAAATGAATGAAAAATTTAAATAAAAATTAGTAAGAACATAGAAGACAATCGAGGATATTATACGATTTAAATAGTTTTAACTAAAAATATTTTAATAACGTATTGAAAAAATAATAATTATAAAAATATAATTATATTAAATATCTTTATCTTTTTTTTTATTAAATCTATTTTATCAAGAATCATCAATTCTTATAATTGTTATTTTCTTACAATGCATTAATATCGGTAACATTGGTACATAAAGTAAAAATATTAAACAAGCTAAACAGAAACCAATGTTATATATGATTTTCGATCCGTCATTTCCAATATTTACAAATAAACCGCCGATAATGAAGCCAACGAATATATGTAAACATATTTTTAAATATATATAATCCTGAAAAAGATGAAAAGATTTTGTTAAATATCTCTTGTGAAAGTTTTTTTGATTTAACATTTTTTATTATTGAATATTTTTGCACCTTATTTCTACGTAACTGTAAAAACCTTCTTTTCGATAGAATGACAAATTGTTCAAACCAAGATACTTTTGATATTATCGCATTGATTTGAAATTCGAAACTCGTTTGTTGAGAGATAGGAATAATAGGAAATTCTGTGTTTACAGCATTTACCATTCGATTTATCCATTCTGAACCATAATCACCCGCTGACACTTCTAACACTGTAACGATAATATAATATTTTTCAAACAATTTGTGAATTCAATTACGCAATTAAAAAGTTTTCTATTTACCAAAATCAGCAGGATTGTAATGCTGCGGACATTCGATACCAATTTGTCGCATGAATGGTACCAAGTTACGCGTAGTACTTCTATAAACACATTGTCCATTGGCAGTTAAAACATAAACATGATCGAATTTCGAGAAGATGCTTGCACTTGGAGTATGAAGGGAACAAATTACAGTTCTTCCTAATCGTACTAAAGATTTTAAAAGTTCGATACATTGCGCAGCAGATATTTGATCTAATCCTCTAAAATTGTCGATCGAATTATATATTTGATTATCAAATCATTTGTTTGAAATTTCTTATTCTTTTCTGCGAAATAAATTACTCACGTAGTTGGTTCGTCGAGAAATATAACTGGTGGATTATTTATGAGTTCTAAAGCTATCGAGAGTCTTTTTTTCTCGCCACCCGATAGATGCTCAGTACTTGTGTGCCTCGCATGATGTAACCGTAAAATATTTAAAATTTCTTCTATCTAAAATTACGCAAACGCTTAATAATTGATCTAAGAGAATCTTATAATGTTAGATAAATACATAATATTTAGTCTATTCCAAAAAAAAAAAGATTTCTTTCATTTTAAAATCATATATATTCTTTTCAAATGTTCCTTAATTGTGTAAACATGCGATAAAAACATATAAAAAAGAATGTATACAATTTTAATTTTTAACCAAAGATTTTTCTTTAATTTTTTAGAAATCGAATGAAAGAAATATTATTTTTTATTTCTATATTGTAAACATAATTATTATTTAAAATGCTTACAGTATTTAATTTCATTTTTTGAGAAATATTCTTGCCAAGTTTTAAGTCCGCAGCAAATTGCATTGTTTCTTGTATCGTGAGCCATGGTTGAAGAAGGTCTTCTTGCATGATGTAACATGACGCTTTTTTAAAGTGTTCCACGTCTTGTTTTTGTCCATTAATATTTATTTGTCCTGTTACGCGGCCAATTGTTCTGTAAACGTTAGATTTGATTTGATAACGTTAGATTAGAAATAATAAAATAAAATAATAAAAAAAAAAATTAAAAGAAATAAAAAGATTGTCAATCGTATTACATTACGCATGAACTGCTAATCTATCGATCGAGACGATGTTAAGATTCATGTAAACTTTAACTTAAATTTTTTTGTTTGCTTGTATAGTATTATAAAATCAATAATTTTTGCATAAAATAGTTTGGTTTTAATGCAATAAAAAATATGAGAAACAATAATGATAAACAAAAATGTATAATTATTACAGTAAATTTTTTTTTATTACAATTAGTTGATAAATTCTATACTAGTTTTATCAATTCTATACTAGTGTTTTGATCTGATGAAACATTACTTGTATCCCGCAAGAATATTTAATAAGGTGGATTTTCCGGCGCCTGAAGGGCCCAATATAGCCGTTAAATGTCCAGATTTGAATTGTCCACTAATTCCCTTTAATATCACTTTTTTACCTATGACACATAAGTAAAAAAAAATGTATTACTTCATATAAATTTTATTTAAAATTTCAATAATACAATCGAAAATGATCATAAAGATACATTATCATTTTTATTATAAAATACATAAAGTTCTATATTATATATAATCATATCCAATGACAAATATATAATAGATATAAAATATATTTTAAAAGAAATATAATCTTGCATGTGTATATTTGTAAACATTTAATCTTCAATACATTGATTATTATTTTGAATACGAAAATGAATTACATATTTTGTTATCAATCTAGTACATTTAAATGATAATATTTAAATTGAAAGATAAATGTTGAACTAAATTCATTAATTAAATAAATTATCTGATTTGATTATTAATTAATAGTATTATTAATTAATTGATTTATAAATATGATTATAAATATTGATTTTAAAAATATATAATTAAATATTAAATTATATTTCGTGAAATATATTTATTGTATAATAAAGATAATTATTTTAACATTCTATTCTATTTAAAAATATATATTTTTTCATTGATGTTAATTATTGATAATAATTAATAATTAAATTGATTTATAATATTGATGATAATAAAATTATGGCAGCATTATATATTTTTTATTTCCATGTATTAGATATATTCATATTCAACCATTTTTATTTTATATTTACTTTTTATTTTATGTATTGATTGAGGTAATACGATAATATTAGTTAATAAAATATCTATAAAGGAATTTATAGGAATTCTTTATATATTTGTAGGGTAACGTGTTTTCGATTATATTTATCATAAATATAGCATTTATATCATTTTTTGTACTTCAAGCGTTTAATTTGAAAAAGATATAAGACAAAAAAAAAATATAAGACATTAAAATATTTTTTTAACTCTTTTCAAAAAGATTTAGTAGTATTAAAATAATCAAAATTATGATTATTAATAAAAAATATTGGAAATTTAGAAAAAAATACAGGAAAAAAATACTAAAATTTTTTAATTCAAAATTTACAAAATTTTTTTTATATGTAAAATAATAATTTTAGGACTAATGTTCTCATTGCTTTTTAAATACATTAAAATTTAAATTTCAATTTAACATTTAAATTTCGTTCGTTTAGCTTTTCAATTTATATGAAGAATACATAATGTTCTTTAATTAAATGATATAATAATAATATGAATAAAATTATTTTACTTTTTTTACATTGTATAAATATTAAAATTAAATTATAATACAATAAATTTTAATTTTCTTTATTATATTTAACAAATACTACAGTTTATATCGTACCTTTTCTACCATAAGGTATTGTATAAGTTAAGTCATTAAATTCGATGTTAATAGAGGCCATTTTTTTGGAATTTAATAATGATAATGAGATGTTATCCATTCCATCGTTGCTTTGTTTTGCCTTCAATTCCGATTTTGTAAGCATGATTGATCTATAGTTTAAAAAAAATGTATTTTTCTTTTATTTATATTATTATTTATAACACTTTTAAACAATCTTAAAAAATCTTTCTTTAAATTTTTTAATAAATTCATAAGTAATATTTTCAAATATTTTTTTTAAAAAATTGATTATTTTTTCGATTGAAATAACAATTGAATTTTATAAATTTTTCATGAATGAAATATTTCCCTTTTTAAATTTTCCCTTATAAATATTATTTATATGAGTAAAAAATTATATTATTATTATTTAAAAAAAAAATAATCAATTATAAGAAAAGAGAGTTAAAGAATATATGACAATTAAAATAATATGATACTATAATTTTTCAAATTATTTAAAATTTGCATTAAATATTATAACACATCAAATCACACAATTATTTGTTCATAAAAGCGTCACTGATAAAAAATTTAAAAACCCGTGAAAACTGTTAAAAGGTTGGTGCACGACAAGTCGCGGTTGAAAACTGACGCTAAAATAACTTTACTATGTTCCCTATTCCTAACGACACTCTGCACTATACACACATAATTGTATCAGCTGCTATCACAATGGTATCATATATCATTTATGTAAATCATCTTGACGTAATTAACATTTTTGATTTATATTTTAATTCAATAAGTTTAATTTACAAGTTTTTTTTTATATGATAATTTAAATTATTAAAGATAATGACGTAATATAATAAAGAATTAAAAAGCATATTTAAAGTCCAATGTGAATCATGCACAATGTTTGCGTACGGATGTGATACGATAACACATCGAAATATATAATAATGAATAAAATAAAAAATAATTGATGTTATTTCAATATTATTAATTATATTTGAGAATATTTTTACAAAAAAAAAAGGGAAAAAAAATTCACTATTTGTAAATTATCTACTATTATTAATATAAGTAATTGGTACTGGAATAAAATAAAAAATAAAATAATAGATAATAGAATAAATAAATGACTTTGTTACTTAAAAATAAATATTTCTCATTTCATACAAAATATATGTATACATATATGTGTATATGTTTATATGTATTTATATCTTGCACATATATTAAACTTTTATCATAACACAAAGAGCTTTTAAGAATTTTTTTTTACTTTATAATACGTATAAATTATTATTATTTACAATAAATTAATTTACGATTGAATTAATTAGAAAATGTATTTATAATTATAATTTATTAAATTTATAAAATTTAGGACAAACTCAAAATTAAAATAGGCACGAATTAATTAAACATTTAATGAACATAACAAACTGCACTAAAAAACAGATTGTATTAGTAAGTATAGACCGAATTAGTCCATACTAATGTGTTAATTATAAGTATACGTAGATTCATAGAAATCTACGCGCATGCTCCAGTCTTCGAAATAGATATATAAATAATATATTTTTTTAAATATTTGTTTTCTGTAAACTTTATTTCTATGAAAGAATAGTATTTTTTTACTTATTCTTATTAACTTATTAATAAATTTAAACACATATTTTAGAATGTTTCAGTTTTTATGATTTTATTTTTTATAATATTAAATTAAATATTTTTCATAATTAAAACCAATTAAAAATGTATATATTCTTTATCTTTAATATTAAAAAAATATATTGTATAATAAATATATATATATTAATAAACATGTATTTCATTCTCTAAAATAAGTACTTTTTGATTTATTGTCAATTTGAAATAAATATCTTTTCTAATATATTATCTAATATATATACTTAAAATTGTATCATTATATTTTATATTTGAGTTATACTGTGATTTGTCATGCAAAAATAATTATTATATATGAGTGTAAGATTTGAATGATGACTATATTTTTTTCTAAATTGCATGACTGAATAAATACTTCATGTAATAATTATATAAAGTAAATAAAAAATTCTTTTACAATTCTATAAAATCGATTAAATTATGATTAAATAAACTTATAATTTGATTTCTAATTTTAAAAAATTTAAATGGTTTTACAAATTCATCTTGAAAATGAAAAAATATATATATTTATATCTCTTTTACTTAACAATACATGATAAATATTTAAATTAATAATATTATGAAAAACAATTTTATTCGTAATAAACAAACGCTATTAAATACAACGAAGTAATTATGCCAATTTAGCACAATTACAGGTATTCACATGCATGATATTTTATAAAAGATTTATGTATATATGTATATATAAAATTATATATATAGTAAAATTTCCATAATCCGGCACGCATAATTCTAATCCATTATTTTGCAGTATCATCATGACTCATATTATATTACATATATTTTTCTTATATTATGTATTTCATATTAACATATTTATATCAAAAGCAAGGTAAGAATTTCTTTTTTTATTTTTATTATTATTAAAAGTACAATTTAATAATTTGGCATTAAATTATAGAAATTCTACTATTATATTATTATAAAAATTCTTATATTCCGGATATCGATATAATGATACATATTATCGAATATCGATTGCGTAACCATTTTTTATATAAATATATAATTCATTTTATATAAATAGATATAAACATATCTTTTATTAAAGTACATTTATCAAATTAATGAATATTATTAACATACTATAAATCAAATGTTTTAATTTTATTTTGTGCATGAACGATTAATCATAATTTCTAATACATTTTAAAAATGAAAGATATAATAAATAAGAATTGACGATAAAATTGTTCTTCTAAAATTGTTGAAAATTCTATTCTTGTTATATATTTTTATGTGATTTATATTTGTATACAAATAAATTTCCTTAAAAAATTATGCTCAAGAAATACATTAATTAAAATGTATACGATATATGTAAAATTTTGGTAAACTTATTCTAAATCTTAAGTTCGATGTTCGTGATGCATTACCAAAGTTTAACATTCATGATTACAAATGTGGGAAGATATTATTTTAAATATTATTCTAAAAAACATCGATTTATATGTCCGTGTTAAAATTAAAAAATATATATTATTGCATTTATTTTTTGTTATCTGCATCGTCAAACTCACAGCCATGGGCAGATAAAAATATGATCACTTGCGAAATATTGTTAATTTAAGGCCTCTTATTCTTTTCAAAGAACAAAATTGCAAAGTTTTAGAATAGTTGATTAGTTTTTTTTATGCATTCAAATCAAATGCATTTATATTTTTTTTTAATTATCTCTTTCAAAACTGGTAATACATCCTTAAGATCAACTTGAGATCACAATATATATTATAATATTGTAATATATTGTAATATAACAAAATGGATCCAAAAAATTTTAACAATTATCGTAACAACAACCATTATGGAATTGTCATCGTACAACTAATAAAAACAAATAAATTATATTTATTTCATAATATTATAAATTATAAATGAATAATTTTAATTTGCATATAAACATATATATATTATATGAATATAATATTTTTATATTTTAGTACTCGTATGAATTTGTCTTGATGATCAAAAATTATGAACAGAAAATAATTCTCGATATTAAAACATAAGATTATTAATCTTCTACTGTACGATGACGGTAAGAAAATGCATTATTATCTTAATCCATTAACATTCGTTTATAAAAGTATTTCAACATTTTAAATTGATAATAATTGTACATCGATCTATCGCGCAGTCTTTAATTTCCAACGAAGGAATAAATAGGCAGCGATTCGAAGAACAACAAATATCAAAAGCAAGGCAAGAATATCGAGAGTGAAATCAGCATCGAGCATGTCTAGTTCCTCCAATGTTGTTTCTGGGTTTTTAAAGTGGCAGTATACCTGTAAATAAAAAAAATAAATAATAAAAGAAGAATAAAATATATTGGATCATTTTGAAAAATGAAATCAAGATTTCTAGACTAGCAATTTTTTAGCAATATAGATTTTTGTGTATATATAATATTATTATATTATTTGCAATTTTATACTATATTTATATATTGTATGTGTGTGTGTAGAAACAAAATTTTAACAAAATTATTTTTTAAATTAATCATTTTAAATTAATCATTCAAAACATACTATTTTAAATGATATAATAATTTAACTTACATGAAATTTAAAAAAAGAAAGAATATATGAGAAGAGTATATCATACCTGGAAACATTTAAGTTTTTCTCGACCAAAAGAATATGTAGCAAGAGCAGTTCCTTCAAAGCCATATCTAATATAGCTTAGATAAGTAATCCATCTAAGATATACAGGAATGGCATCAAAACTAACGAAAAAGCCAGAGAATAAGAGAAATGGTACGGACATAACTGGTGCTAAAAATACACCATTTTGTACGTTCATTGCTGCTCCAACTACCAATCCAACCGATTGCGCTACAAAAGAAATTAGTAAACATGTTCCCAAGAACATACTGAATCGCATAATATCTGTTGGTTGACTTGTCATGAAGTATACAATTGTGACATATATAACACAAAATACTGCCTGTAAGAAAGATCATGTGTCATATAAAATTATATATATAGAAAAAATCTAATTTATTTTTATGACAAAATTAAATTTTTTTTTTTACCTGAAATGGTATATCTGATACAGTAATTGCTAAATAATAAGCCTTAAGAGAATACCATCTATTAAAATTTTCTTTCAGGAGTACTGGCAATTCTAGTGGAACTGTGAAAAGAAAAGTTTTTAAAATGTTATCATAAACAAAGAAAGTAAAAAAATAAATAAAAATATTTTTTAAAATATAACTTACAAGATAAGATTGTAATAGTCATTGATGTATACATAAGAAACAACATATTAAAGAATAGAAATCCAAGGTTGCTAAGTACTTTAGCACCGTCATTTCCAATATCATAATAAAGTGCGCCAATCAATAATCCTACTAGAATATGAGCAAAGAGTCGAAGATACATAAGTGTCTAAAGGAAATAATATCAGAATCATAAAATTTTTTATTTAAAAAAATTAAAGACTTTAAATAAAATTTGAATTGATTAATTTACCCAATCTCTACGACTGAAAAGTAAAGTTCGTTTTAAAACAATCCAGAATTGTTGATATTCCGATGTGGGATATCTCTCTGGAGTGACTATAATTGATTCATCGAGTAAAGCCACATCTGCGTTATCCTTCTTTTCCATATCAATTGGTATTACTACATCTATTATAGAAAGGCAATAACAATAACAAAATATTTAAAAATAATTGATATATTTATAAATCAATATATATTAATAATTTTCAATTTTCTTATCTACCTTGTTTTGCGATATCATTACTTGCGTAAGATGAAATAATTCCTTTATTATTAATTTCTTTTTTTACTTTATCCTCTTCAAACTTTTCTTTCAAATTACTCACATCATTTTTATCTTTTCTTTCAGTATTTTTTCCATCTTCTTCATTTTTCGAAAACGAATCAGGTAAATTATTGAGTTCTTCCAATTTATTTTCAGGAAATGGATATCCTTCTCGAATATCATATTTTCCGTTCTTTATAGCATTTACCAAATTTTTGATATTATCTCCATATTCTCCACAAGATACTTCAATGACTGAAAATTAAAATATAATAATCATTATTTTGAAATCAGTGTTTTAAAAAAAGCTAAGATATGTCAAGATGCTTCAATGTCATAAATAACTTACTGAAAGAGGCTGGATTGTGATAACTTGGACAGTTGAGCCCAATATTTCTAAGAAATGGTACTAATTGTGATGTAGATCCCTGATACACACATTGTCCTTCAGCTAATGTATATAACGTATCGAACATTTCAAAAAGTCTAGCGCTAGGTTGATGAATAGTACATATTATCGTTCTTCCGCCTCGAGCTAAAGTCTTTAAGAGCAAGATGCATTGAAAACAAGACGAAGAGTCTAAACCACTGTAAATTAATAGAAACTATATATATGTTATTCAGCAATATTTTCACTACAATATGAAAAAAATGCAAAAAATTAAATAAGACAAAATTTGTATCTCTTTTCATTAAATTTTTAAAATACATTTATTTTATTATTACCATTAAATAATTGTTAAATAAATTGAACTTTCATTTTTTTTTTTAATCGCAAAACAAAATTCTAATAGATTTTTATTCAAAAATTATTTTTCCAAAGTTTTAATCAATTTTTAAAAGATTTATCAAGATGAACACATAAATGATAAATTAATTGATAAATTCAATAAATGCAAAGATAAAAATTACGATATTTAAAAAAGAATGTTATATATAATTTCAGTGAAAGCGAGAAAGCAAGGACTTTCAAAAACTTCAAGATTGGTTGTATACTTTCTCTTAGTTCATGTTTTTATTTCTTCATTTGATGAAATTAACTTGTACGCGTCAATTTCATTGTTTATAACATATAATTTCTTATATATATATAACTATTACAAATTGATGAAATATGATTGTATCTTTATTAGAAAAAATTCAAGTCAAAGAATATTCATTATTTATGAAATATAAATACTATATATACTATACATAAATATATAGATATACTATATGTGTATGTACAAACAGAAAACAAGATTCTTTAGTATTAATGATAGTGAAAGTTGGTTGGCATTGATCTATTAAGAAGAAAAAATATTTTCTGATATAAATTTATAATTTCTATAAATGAATAAACATTTCAAAAATATTCTTGTTTTCTTTTTCTTTGTGCAACATATAAAGATTTGCTTACCTAGTAGGTTCGTCAAAAAACATTATCGGAGGATTATTGACCAATTCAAGAGCAATAGAAAGTCTTTTTTTTTGCCCACCGCTCAAATTCGATGTCATAGTTTGACGATGCTCGGATAAACCAAGTGTTTCTAAAATCTCTTGAATCTAAATGACACAAATAATATAATTAAAAAGTTAAATATTCTTTTTTACTATTCTTCTAATTTTTTCTACTAATTTCCAAAATAAACATTTATTTAAAAATATTTTTTATAGATTATATTAAAAATGAAACATACGTACCACTTCTTCTTTTTCTGTTTTGTTAACATGCGATCCAAGTTTAAGATTTGCAGCGACTTTCATGGCTTCAGCCACTGTTAAATTCGCATGAAGTTGATTATCTTGCATTATATAGCATGATAATTTTCTAAAGGCACTAAGATCCCTTTCATGACCATTCATTGTAACACTTCCTTCAGTACCTGTTGATCTAAGCATACAGTTCAACTACTTTTAAATGTATAATCGTTTATGCTAAAAAAAACAATATTTTTGTTAAAATGAATTAAAAATAATGATAAATTTCATTATGTTTCATATGATATCAAAATTTTATTTTTTACGTATAATTTACGTAATTATTAAAACATTAGATAATAAAATTGAATACATAAATAGTAATTATAATGATCATCGTACTTAATCTACATAGGTCATTTGTATATTTTATTCAAATCGATAATTAACATCACTGAACATTTTTTTATCATATTCAAAAGTTTTTGTAGAAGAATTGGAAAAATAATAAATCATGAAAAAAAATAAAAATATTTGAGAAAAAAATATTTTTAATTGACAACGAAAAAAATTATTCTTGAGTGAATTATTTGATTTATTTATTAAAAACCCATTTATAAATAAAATATAATTAATATGTACAAACGAACATTGATTTTTTAATGAATACATTACAGAATTTGCATAAATATAAGGACTCACTTGTATCCGGTCAGAATGTTTAAAAGAGTAGATTTTCCTGCACCGGAAGGCCCCATAATAGCTGTCAGTTCTCCAGATCGTAATCTTCCACTGACAGATTTTAAAATTATTTTTGCATCTAAAAATTATTTAATTACTTTTAATGATAAGGAAAAAAAAAACTGTTGTATAATTACTTTACTTATAAAGAAATGAATTCTTTATATTTATGATTTCCTATATATGCATGTTCATTGTGATTCATACATATATATTTTGAAAAATATATATATTTTTATATATATTTTTAAATATATATGTTTCTTTTTCTTATAATATAAAAAATATTTTTGAATTATAAATATAATTTATCATTATATTTTATGCAAAATTATTTAACTATATATATAATATCAGAGTTAATATTATGATAATATTATGATGTTATTACGTCACACTTTAGTATCTGTATATAACAATGATTGCGTGACCATGGATTTGTTTGCAGACATAACATTTATATTGATAACTTTAATAAAAAATCAAATTAAATTTTGAATATTTATAAAGTTATTTTAAATCTATTTAATAATTAATAATATTTAAAATTTTGATTTTTTAATATTATATGAATATTTCCATATAATAAAAAAGAGGGTAAAAAGAGGGTAATTATTATAAATATCATTACAAATATTATATATATTGCATTAATATAAAATATTAATGAATATATATATATATATATATTATTCGATGTTATTCAAATTATAATTTAAAATCAGCCTATTCAATTGATTTCTTTTAATATCCTTATAATAGAACCAGTTTTTATCAATCAAACATAATAATCTTTCCTGTATTATAGAAAAATCAACATATTACACGAAAGATAAATTACAAAAATATTATTACAAATTCAAGTTCAATATTATTTTTATTTTAATTGCTCTATTTACACATGTATATATTTATATATATATATTTAATATTTATAAATATAATATTTATAAAAATATATATAAATATATTATTTTTATCATTATTATAAATATTTATATATACATATATGTATTAGATTTTTTATTTAAAAATACAATATTTTTGATTTGTTCTATGATACAAATATTATTTTTTAGATATTCTTTAAATATTTATGTATAATATTAAAAAAATTGCTTAGTCATTAACGTACAAATAAGTCAACTATATATATATAAATTATTAACAAGTCATAATTAAAAAAGAAAAAAAAAATAATATTCTCGAATGCAACGTATTTTTAAATATTAAATTAAGAAAATATAACTAATAATTTTGAAATAATAATCCGAAAGAATATTAAACTTTTTATTTGAAAACATTTAATGAATTTAATAAATTTAATTAATCGTTTAATTAGAATTATAAAAAGAAAAAAAAAGAAGAAAAAGAAAAATATTGAAAAATAATCAAAATAAAATGAAAACGCTAACTCGCTACCACGCTAAAATGAAACTTTATCGCCAGATACTGTAATTGGAACAAACCAGCCATAAGCTGGTCGAGTATAAATTAATGATAAATAGAAACAAAGGTTGTCTTTCAAATCATTCATTCTATTATTGTATTTGCTGCCTTACTCCATTATTATTTCTTTTAAAAATTAATTAAATTATTAAATTTCTCTTCTCAAATAATTATAATCTGTTTTAAATCGCACTTAAAAATTTAAAAATGTATCAATAAAAAATATTTTCTATATCTAAATGCATATACTTTGGAAATTTTTGTTAAAATTTTATGCCGTAACTGGTCTTCTTGCAAAATCTCTGTTTTAATTTCTTTACTTTAATATTTAATTCGTATAGAAAGTTATTTTTTAAAAGAAAAATATACATATGTAGTATAGTAAGTATAGTATAGTATAGTATAGTAAGAAAAATATACATACATAAATAGATAAAATAAAAATGATAATAAAAACACTATTATCATGACTCATTTGATTTCTTTATATTATATATTTTATTTTATTTATAAATATTATTTATAAAATCAATTTATTTTATAAATATTAAATTTAAATAATGAGATTTTATTAAGCATATAATTAAGAATATGTATTATATATTATTGTGTGTTAATAATATATATATATATATCTATGATATACATATTAATAATATTTAATTTCTTTTTTATGATCAATTTTATCAATTTTGATTATATAAATATGACCAAAAGAAAAAATAAAGGAAGTAATGAAATAATTTATGTTTTTTTAATTAATTAATCATTTCAATGATGTCTCAAAAAACTTTAGTACTTACATTGTTTGATTGAACATAAAATATATATAAATTTTATTTAGCTTTAAATAGCTTTTATAAAAATATAAAAGGAAAGTAAAAATACTTACTATTTTTGTTACCTTCTCGTACTTTGTACGTTAAATCGGTGAATGCTAAGTCAACCGGTGGTCTTTTCGGCAAATGAGTAATCGTTTTGTGTTGTGCAGGTATAATTTGCAAACGAGAACCAGAACCTTTTCTAGGTTGTAATAATATTTCATTAGTATTATCTTCATTCGAACAATTTCCTTCGAGCTTCATTTTATATCTTTTTTAGAACTTTTATATTGAATTTGTTAAAATTTAAATAAATCTTTTATCTTTTTTTTCTTTTTTTTTATGATATTTATTTAATTTTATCGATATTTATTTAAACGAATTGACTTTTTCGTAATCTTGTATTCTCGCTTTTTATTGCATAAGTATACAAATTCTTTCATTGCCTGAAAAATTATTTATTTTTAAATTTAATTTTTCTATTTATCTAATGTAATATATATATTATATTATATATGTTTAAATTAAAAATGTAACCTTTTCTTAATCACAAAAAATGTGGTGAATTTTATTTTGTTATATTTAAGGATATAAAATATTACTTATTATATATAATTATAAGTTTAAAAATATTTATTTTTATATTGGAACATATTACACATTTCTTTGGCACATGAATTTTATTAATTTTTTTAATTATAGAAAAATATAAATTTATAGGCATTTATTTACATATATTCAATTTTAACAAATCTTTAAATATCATAATTCTTATTATTAAATTCAATTTGATAAGATCGTTTTATCTTAAAGATATTACAATGAGGATTTTAAAGATATGATCAAATATATTTCAAATAACGCGCGTTCTTACATTATTGAACTAGCAATACGAGAGAAGTCGGTCAAAAAGAGACGACCATAACTTTAGGAGTATATGTTTAACAACTGTATAGACCATCAACTTTATCCTCGAGTCAGAAACAAGAGTAACTCAACTTCTATATTCCGCGTCTTCGAAGCACGTAACGATATGGTTAAGTAATTAAAAATAAAACACACGCTTACAATTTTTACAATTATACATAGAACAACAATGAACGTTTTTAAAATTATAGAATTAAACTCATGATAACTATTAAAAAATTGAAGACAGTAGCCAATTCAACAATCCCTCAACGATGCACAAACCTCGATGTCTCGAGACTGACTGACTGACTCAACCGTTTAGCTGCATCGCGGCCATCACCATTGACCGCCGTTGCTTTCCAGAGTGCTCTTTCTCACTCTGTTTTTCTTTCCACTTCTCTCTCACTCCTTCCACGCATCTACCATCTTTTTAAGGACACAACAAAGAAAGATAATCAAGAGAGTGATGAGTTAATATGATCAAAGTCGAGATCGTGAAGAAGCTATTTAGTTGTGATCTCTAGTAATCGTTGCTCTATTAGTTGACCGGTTATGATTAATTAATTTATTTCAAATAATATTTAAATTTTTTTTCTTGAATTTTATTCCTTCAACACGATTATTAAATTGATTAATTTTTTTAAAATTATAACAATAAAAAATATTTAAAACATATTTTTCTCAAAGTTGTAACAAAAATTCAGTTTTATTACAGTAAATAATAAATTAATACCATTTTTTAATTATTCTCATAATTAAGAAAAATGAATGTAAAATATTTCAAAATACATTTGTTTGTTATATATTAATTATTATTATTAAAATCTATTATAAAATTTTAAATAAGTTGCAAGTTGTCTGTTATAATAAAATTATTATTTGTTTTAATATTATATTTTTTTTAAAAGATTAAAAAATATGTTTTGACTTCTGAAATTTTATGCACATCATTGACGTTTCATTAGACGTCATCATATGATATGTTGAATTTAAGAACGATTATAATAATAATTTATTATTAATTTAGATGAAAGAAAAAGCAAATCGATAGTCTCATTTTTTTGTTGATTTTTTATATGTGCATAAAAAATTAAGGTACATTTTTTCTTTATGTAGAAACAATTTTTATTTCTTAATTGAATAAAATATGTATTAATTATTTCGTGAAATAATAAATTATTTATAACATATTACATTATTATATATACTCATCATTATCAGTTGTTTGTACATATTTTATTTTTTTTTTTATTTCTTTTACATCCTCACATTTATTTTTTTTAATCATATACAATTATATATATTATATATATATATATATATATATATATACACAATTAATTTTTTCATTTAATAATAGATTGCAGCAATAATGTATTGTGAAATTTGTCATAATACAATATATTGATAACAATCTTCTATAATTTTTTTATTTAAAATAATATTTTACATTATAATATAATATTTTATATAATATTTAAATATTATAATATTTTATATTTTCGGTATCCAATTTATTTTATTTATAATATAAAACGTATAATGAATAAGATTGTACAATATTTAATTTAATAATAAATATCCATTTTCTTACAGTTTCTTTATAAAAATCCTTATTTAAAATTATATTGATAAAATTATAATAATTATTATGATTATAATTTTATTTGCATTATTCAATATAATATTATATTTAAAAAAAGAATATTTATTAAAATATGATAAAAAAAAATATTTTTTAATTAATTTCTCAAAAATGAATTATTTTTTACTCTTTGTATCTGTTTATTTATATCAATATAATTATATATATAGTGTCAAATTAAATATACATACATATTATATCATGTATGTACGTATGTGTATGTATGTGTACGTATGTGTATGTATGAAGGCAAAATTTGTTGTTAAAATGAATATAGTGTATGAGGACAGAGTGTATTAGATTATATTGTCGATAAAGTTATCAGTATTTTATAAATCTATCCCAAATACAGGCAACTTACATGAAAACATAAAGTTCAAATATCAAATTAGGAACTAAGATAAGAATAGAATTGTTAAAATTGTGTGCAAAATATTTTATAATTTATATTCTCATATTTTCATATGTTATTATAATTTAATTTATTTTAATAATAATTTATGATAATAGAATTAAAAATGAATTCTGTGTGTCAAATTTTTTAGAAATATATATGATTTATAATAATAATTAAAATTAAAAATACATTTCTTATTTCGATGTATTTAATAAATAATATAATTTATAATTATTTTTAATTATTACATTAAAATATGAATTAATTTTTTGTTTATCAGTTTTATCAGTAATTGATTTTATCAAAGACTGGCTAAGATTATGATTCCATAAATGTAAATAAATGAATTGTTCATATATTATATTAAAAAATATATAAAAAATGTTTTTTAAAACATTATCCTAATATAGTTATTTATATATCGTCAATCATCGTCAATCAAAAATCAATCTTGAGGAATATAAAGAAATAATTAAAAATTTATAAAAATTCTATCATAAGTATCTCATAAAACAATATAATTACGAAACCACTGGATTAAAAAATATCAATCATAATACATATCTTTTATTCATATATATGTCAATTGACTGAGCGCAATCTTATATCTTTTGTATATCCTCTTATAAGTAATATAAGTATTTGAAAACAGTATTAAATAACATGAATAATATTTCAAATAGAGAAAAACACATTCTTGTTTTGTTTAAAAATTAAATCAATTATCAAATTAAATAATTATTTAAATTAAGATATTATTGAAGTTTAAAAGATAATTTCTGAAAAATATATACTACTTTTGTTTTAACAAAGTACAAATTATTATACTTATATAATCGTTTTCATTATCTAATAAACCATTTGGTCTTTTATTTTTTAACATTATTTAATTCTTTTTATTTTTGTAAATGAATTTATCTTTACATTGGTAATTAAACTTTCTAAAAATACAAGAATAAATTATACAGTTTTAATATATACTTTTATGAATTATAAAATATAATTCATAAAATACGATAATTAATGGGAAAAATCATTGTAAAATAATTTATATTTCTGTACGATGAATTTTTACAAATTACAATATCAATTTTTATTTTGTATTTTATTTGATTATTTTATTAAAATTCATAGAAAAATAATTAAAAGAATTAGGAATTATCAATTTTTTTCAAGAATAAATAATGTAGTCAAAGTTTGTCATTTACAAATAATAAAATACATACAAATAAAATCTGCTATGCTATATAATTTTTTGATTATAAAAATTTAAGGTTATGTTTAAAAGAGATTATGTAGTTTTTTATTTACTTACATTTACGCATTAGTTTTTTTATATTTTTATAAACAATCTTATATCTTTATAAATCTTTTAGCAAATAACAATATGAATGTTGAAATAAACTTTATTCATTCAAATTACAGAAAATAAAATAAATACAATATATCAATTTTATATCTATTAACATTCCATTAATTGTATTAATCAATAAGAGATATTATTTTGTACATTTTGATCTGTTTAATTAATAATTTTCCATTTTAAAATCCAATATATTAAATTATTAAATTACACATTTATATTATAATATCTATTTTTCTTTTTTTTAAATTTCTGAATATTTATTATCGGTGTTTTTCAATTTATTTTACTTCTTGTTCACTTCATTTTAATATACTGATAATTTATATTGAAAATAAATATGTTCGATATTGCAATTTTGCTCAATAATGAATTTAAACAATATTATATCGTTACTTAGAAGCAGAAATAATTATTTTACGAATTTATTACGAATAATATATTTCTTACAATATAAATATTTATGTACTAACTTAGAAAAAAGATAATAAATAATTTAAAAATAAAATGTACAAATGTAAGATAATATATATAGCAGTAATTTTTATTTTTAATGATATTATTTTACGTGTTCAAAGTACTAAAAATTCTAATCGTTGCAGCCATTAGCAAATTTGTTTCACTTATATAGTAATACAAATTTCCCAAGTCACACCACGAGGAGGTTGCTGCAAATGGTGACTCGCCCTATCTCCAACGGTCCCATCCACCCTCCTTTACAAATTTTAAATTGCGGTAGACATCATCGCAGTATATCAACCGTTTATTCCATTTGGAACAGACGGTATACAAAAAAATGGACCTACCCGAAAAAGAGGTAGACGTGCTAATCATCGCCTATCCTCTTTTTAATCTAAAACATACACCAATCCCTAGCTAAACTTATAAACTAAGCTAAGCCCTAGCTAAAGTAGATTTTCAATAGGCAGGATTTATAAACTGTGCAATTGTTTAATTTATATGTTATTCAATGGCGAACTTCTTAATAAAAGAAGAGCCTAAATAACGGAACGATGCTATCTAAAATATAATAAATAAAATAAAGTATAAACTGTGCTCATTTGATTACATTGCTCGTCTTGTCCGATACGTCGTCACGAGGATAATTGATATTCTTCTATTTCCGTCGCCACGTTCATAGAAGGTAGCACGAAATAGAATATAAACATTAAGTACGTTATTATTCTATTTACGTATTGCGAATTTTGCAGATGAAACAAAGCTAGAAAACTGCGTTTCTTTGCGATGCAGAAAAACAATGTTTTTTTTGCTTCCGTTCATCAACAATCGCAAAAGATCCCTAATGGGTTACCAATTTTATACGTGTGATCTTCTTAGCCAAAATAAAGGCAATTAAGAAATGACAAAATGTGTCGAATCACCGCATAAAATGGGTCATGTAATGGCGGTGTACGTCACCGGGCATCCTCTAATTCAAAAGAATCAGATTATTCCCAAACGCAGCACAAATTATATCTTCTTTGATTGTAATTCTTTAGAAGGAGTTGCAAAAATCCTGTTCGAATCAACTACGTCAAAAGAACAAAGAAAATGGCAACTACTTCTACTCGACTTTACTTTCATGAAGTATATAATTTTCACATTACAGACATAAAAATAGAAGGATAGAAAATGGGGAAAAGGGGACTTACGATCGTCCAGGATTACAATGAAACCAAACTGCACTACGCGGAAGACGCGGAAGATCTGAAAAACACTAACATATGAAACGAAACTATTGCACGATAGTCTAGCTTGAACATGACATTACGAATTAATAAAATAAAAGTGAGAGGAATGATTAAAAAACGAATTATTAGGAATATTAAGAATAAGATTAAAATTTTTTAAAAAATAATAAATTACTAAAAACAAGAAAAGAACTTCACTCCGCGATCGTTCAAGCTA